CCTTTATATATTCTGCCACTCTAGCACATTAACCCCTCTTAATGGCCATTGGCAATGCTTACAGGGTATCAGAACAACAGCATTACAGCGCATTGATATTAAACCATAATGGATTCGAACATATTCAAGTTGAGTTTAGGGATTTCAATAAAATCACGCCCCCAAGGCCCCGTACCCAGCATTAGGCAAATGGAAACAGAAATTAAATACGTTGCCAAAACCCAGCGGCTGTTGCTGAATTTGAGCAGGAATTGGAGCTGGTACCAGAGCAGGGGCTTTTATTTATACATATATAGAATATGAGAGAGAGAGAGAGAGAGAGAGAGAGATTTGTATATATTTCCTTGAATTTTCATTCTAGAGGATTGCGGGAAAAGTTAGTGTAAGCGGATGAGCTTAACGCAAGAGAAAGGTAGCTATGGGAGCTGGTAAAGCTATTGGGAGTTCTACTCTTGCGTGGTTAAGCAGAGATCCAACATTTTCCGGCTGACCTTTACAGCTGTTGAGATTTGGGCAAGGTTTAAGGGCTTAGTGGGAGTCGGTTGTACAGATTTCGCCATGATTTTTCTTTAGCTGCTGTTACACCTGACCTATGCCAAGACAAAATGTCTTGAACAATGCACAGAAGTTGCGTTGACAACAACAACAGCAACAACAACAACAACTTGACAAATTGAAAATGTGAAAAAATAGAAATTGATTTTCTTTGAAATAGTTTTGGACAAAAACAAAATTATCTAGAGAATTTCTATTTGTTTCTGAACGTGAAAACTGAATGGGAATTGTCATGCCCAGACCGACGACCCCTGCCCAGAGAGAGCGAGAGTGAGAGAGAGAGAGAGGCAGAGCTGGAGTCCCACAGTTAGACCCATTCCGAGCTGCGTGTCAGACGCTCTATGTAAATTTCTCAATTAGTTGCACAAACAAAGCAAAGAAATCCATTTCCCTGCTGTCATTAATCATGCGGCCCAACTATCTATCCACATACACAGACACACATTCAGTTCCAAACTCAGACGAATGCAGCTCAGCAAGAGTCCAGTTGCCAGTTGCCAGTGCCAGCGCCAGTTCTCAGTTAACACTCACCCAAAAAAATTGCTCTAAGCCAATGCTAATGTGCAGAGCCAAGCCGAGCACACGTACTCATCGCAATGAATAGTACATATATGTATATAGATATATTATATATACATATGTACCTATATGTTTCAGTAAATGGAAATTTCCAACTTAAATGTTATCGATAATTATTTAAAATTCCATTATTTATGTAGCTATCCGTTCAATTAGGTTGAATTGAAAGCTTTCTCGAGTCTGAAAATCTAGGAACTATATAT